TAGTCTGTCTAAGATAAGTAAGGAAAACTGAAAGGAAGACAAAAAAAAAGGTCAGAAACACGGAGATTTCAGACAGAGGCTACTTGAGCTGTATTTCCTGTTTTAAATGCCAAAATCACCACCTTAAAGAGTTTTAAGTCATCTTCCAAATACCAGCGTTGGACACATAACAGATGGAAATACCTGGAGCTGCAACTATTTCTTATTTTGGATATCGTTAATTTTCTAACAGTCTTTTACTGCTAGATGAATACAGAATATTATTTGAATGCCTTTGGAATCCTATGTTTATTTTTAATTTTGTAGAGAGCCATTGCTGGTTTTCATGGTTATGTTTCCTTCCAAAGAGGTAATGTTTTCCCCTGGGAATTACCATGGGGAAATTGCAATCCAGAGTGCTCCATAGCACTCCATATTGCATCTGCCCTGCACTGAGAAACCAACCACTCTTCTGCCACAGGACTCCTCTAATTTCTTCCCCTCCTGTTAGGGTTTCCTTTCAGAAAAGAAACTCCTGAACTTGTACATAAAGCTCTGGAAACTTGTTTTTTGCTGTGTGGCAATTCTTTAAATTGTATATGACACTTGGCTTCAAACTGAGCTGGCTTCTAAAGATTTTTATCGTGGGCTGCACTGGTGCTGTAGCCATTTAAAAGAAAATATTGGCTGCTGTGACTTGTGTTTTGATTAAAAAAAAAGTATTTTCACAACAACTATTTCCTAGACAAACTATAATGTAAAAACTTGTAGGGAAAAGCTTTGTCTCTATACTTCTAATAATTGACAGTTACTTGAAGACTTAAAATTTATGCAAAACTAGGGAATTAAAAAAACCACCTTCATGAACTTTCTTATTTGCAAGGATTTATCTGAATTTATCAGGAGTTTTAACTTTAAATAGATAATTTCAGAGGTCTGTGTTGTCCAGAAAGTAACAAAGGGAGTTAATCAAATATGAATCTTCTCCAACTGTCTTGTCAAACCAGGTAATGATGTCCTGCCAGCCAAACTCAGACAGAACATGTGAAACAAATACAAAAGTAAACAGGCCCTAAGCTGCCCAAGGGAAAGTCAGCAAGATGGCAATTTCAATCATTTGGAATAATACTAAAGCAGCCTTAGGCTTTTCTCAGAATGGAAACATGTCACTGTTACTGCAATATTTGAACAAATCAGACTGCAAAAGAAAGGAACACTTATGTAATCACAGCCGTGGAACAGTGCTTTACTCGATGGTGAGGTGGAAAATAATTAAGGGAAAATGTCCTGTTGGGGAGTAATTGTAAATGCACCTAAATAAGAAAGATAAACAATGTTTCCATAGAAATCTGGAGCGGCGAACAAACCAAATTTGAGCACAGATTCCCGAAGTCTTGACACAGGAGGCTTTGGAACAACAATGATAAAGTTCTGTCAAATAAAACTGTGAACATTATGGTCCTACAAAATTTCTCAAATGTTGATAAAAGTTATGTTCAGAGCTACAAAGAAAACAAAAAAGCACTTCAAGAACAACTCTCCTGAACGGCCGCATTAAGATGAACGGGGTTGTCATATCATTTAACTGAGAAATCAAAAAATATTTCAAATATTTGGGGAACTTACCTAATCAGTAAACGTTCAGTATGTGTCTAGTCATGTAGCCATCTTTTAGTCAATCATCAGAAAATCAAAGGCAAATTGGCATGACTCAACCCAAACTTTAATACCGCATGATTGTGTCGTGTAAGCTTGTTTTGTGCGAGGGCTGCTGTGGTTTTAGCAGAGAGATTAACGACCGGACCTAAGCTGGCCTCCAAACCTTGCCCTGCTGATGCCTCAAGCCCTTTGAAGTCTGACCATCATACCTGGCAAAACAACAGTGGGAACTAGGCTGGTGTCAGATCTAATCAAGTTTCCTGCCTCAGCATAGCTAACTATGGGGTACACTAATTGGCCCAATTGCGGATTATACCTTTTGCTACAGATTCAAGACAATAATTTAGTCAAATGATGGTTTTTATCTCCTTCTAATTAAGATTCCAAAGTGGGAAGAAATAGGATTAGACAGGCTAACTTCAAAATTGTGTCCTTTAAAGTGGCATGCACATAAGATAGATCTCTGATAATACTGCACATAAGAGTATATTGCTAGTAACTAATGTGTGAAGATTTGGGAAAGCTTGAAATAGCTACTGCACCTTTTAGATAAACATGGAAGTTTTCCTGGAAAGGTTCCTCTTCATAACTTATAAATGGACAATGAGCACTCATAAATATTTATTAAAAAACTATTGTCATCCTGAATTTAAAGGAAATATCTCTTTAGAAAACATTTCAGTCAACCTTATTTTGATGAGGAAGACACAAGGTAAAACGAAACGCTTAAAAGATTCTGCAGGTTATAAAGAGGTGGAGTTTCTCCCACAAAACTGCAATTTAATTAAACAGATTTGACATTAAAGGTTTTTCACCTATGAGGGCCAAACTATAAGGAGTTATTTAACTGGTGAGCAAACCAGAGATGAGAAAATCCATGTCTCATATTCTTATTTTAAATTGTAAAAAAAGAATGGTCTAGTGATGAAAACCCTTTTTGAAGAAATTTCACCATAATTCACAGGTTCTGTGTTTCTCACTTTCCTTATGTAATTTAATTTTAAAGCGGCATTTCAAGTAGAGGTCAATATTTTTATCCTAAATTGTGTATATAAATATGCAGAATCTTTCCAGAAACTGTAATTTACTCAATATGCATTTTCATTCCATATTTAAACTACATCCCGAAGAAGTCCTAAACTCAGTTGTACTCTGTACAAAGCATACTGCTGGCTTGCAATGCACACAGTTTTGCTTCTACCCCCAGAACCAGTGCTGGCTGACTGCTGACACATCACATTCTAACTGCAGAAACCCAATTTAGAGAACCTTATTCACATCCTTTCTTAATTCAGTTTTCCCTTGCTCACATTTTCTTATTGCCCTTATTGCTCCAGTCAGCCTCGCTGTAGTCTGCTTTCCCTAACAGTATGAGGAAGAAAAACATATGTATTATAGATTAGTGAAACATGTAGAGGAAGATCACAGTAGGACAGTGATCTAACGTGTTCAAAAAGGGATAGTTTGTGTCAGTTCAGCTTACAGAAAGCATATCTCTAACAAAACCTGAAGTTATTCAAAAGGGGCTGCAGCTGAGCAGCGAAGGGAGAAATTATACAAGTGGGTCATCCACGCATGTCTAGGGCAACAGGTTGTTTCAGGAGTTGCACTTCACTCCTGTTTCCAATGTCCCATGGCTAATTCAATTCTTTTTACAGAGCCTCCTGCTAAGGGTTTTCTTTCCTTCCAAATTACATTACAGATTAGCATCTCGAATTCGTCCGAAAGAAAAAATTGCATTCTGAGACTGAGGACTCAGTGATGAGAAACCACCCAAATATTCTAATTCACAGCTATAATAAATGAGAATTTACTATGCTGTGAAATGAGAGTGCACGCTTCTCTACACCTCTGAAAACAGAGAGAACATTTGTATTTTAAAACCAAACACAGACTACCAAGGGTTTTGTTTCTACTGTACCGCTCCAAAGCTCAAATGCTTTAATACCTCACAATGCCTGGTTTCACTAACTGCATTCTCTGGAAAGTGACAAAAGTTGGAAAGGAATTGTCTTGGGGAGAAAAAAGCCCTCCTTCATGTGTTTGCCTTTAAGTGGCTTCTGAAGAGGATACCTCTAGTTGAGAAACTTCTAGCACTCACGCAGAGATGACCTGCATGAAGAACTGGCTGCCTGATTAACTATTAACTACTCTCAATAGGATTAGATAATTAAAGACATTGATGACCATTAATTAGGAGGAGGGCACCTTAATTTGTCACTTGATAGGGCCCTTTCAATGATTTATAGGTTAGGGCTACTTGCAATTGTGAAGGGGAGGGGGCAGTGAAGAGAGAGAACCCTTAAGTTACCTTATCAAGTGGCCAGCTAAAAAGGGCAGAGGGTCAAATAAGGGCCAAAGTGGTCACTTAAGGGTGAAGTCCCAAACACCAAAGCAGTGCCAAGCCACATTGACCAGCATTTGGTGATGGAGTAAAAAATATGCTAATTTATTGGTGGCAATTCTCTCTTTTTATGGTTTCAAGCAGTTAAGACAAGTGGCCTGCTTAAGAGCTTTTCATTTGAAAAGAGATTAAACAAAATGGTTTGTCAGGGATGCTTGGCTGTTTTATGCCTTTGTTAAAAAAAAAAAAAAAAAAAAATTGCTCAGACTGTACCCATGACTATTGCATCACCCTGAAAGCCATCTTCCATCTCTAAGCATTACTTGGTTAATAAATACATCAGCTCTAATTGCTTAATAGTGCTATGTTCATTTGCTCTTTAGCAAGATTAAAATGAACTACATCTTTTGTATTACTGCCTTCTATCAGGACTGTCTGCATAAAGGTCACAGAAAAAAAGTTTAAATTTAGTAGGAAATTTACTTAAGGACATTAGTGTAAATGATACTGTGTTTAAAATGACATAAAAGAGCGAAAGGTGATTTCAGTAATGCAAAGAAAATGGTTTCTGAATACTGATAAGGACACTTATCCCCCATACCACACACAATTTTAGCCAACATTATACATTAAAATCCCTCTACTGGGGTAATAACATGTAGCTACTTTCCCACCCACTAACACAAGTAAGAGCAAGTCATTAACATTTAATTAAATATGCTCCTGACATCCTTAGAAACATGTCATGCTTTGTTATTGAAGGTTGTGGCCTACTTTCTGTGTACATTTTAAACCAAAATAAAGTATTTATAACAGACCGGTTTAGTGCAGCAAACGAGACATTTTTAATTAGAAGGCATATTACAGTATTTCCTAAAACCCTTCTGAACAGCAAAACCAGAACGAAATGAATTTACATCATCTGATGCATATTTTATGTATTTCACAAAACCAAACATAAGAGATGGGATTAGCTCCACCTTTTGGGTTCTAAATAGCGAAACAACGTTTCTCTTACCTCGATGGTGAACAGCTTCCTTTTTAATCTAAAAGCCAGGTCCTTGGTGTCTGACACATCACAGATCAAGCTATTAAGCCGAGGAATCTGATGTACATGAACCAAACCTTGTGGAAAGAAAGAGTAAAGGAGGGGAAAAAAAAAATAAAAAAATTAAGAAAACGCTGTCATCCAGATGCATAAATTAGAGTCTTACAGCAGAATTCTGTATATTTACACACACTCATCCTCCCCTTTTTAAACTGGAGCTTACTACCAGGAGCAATGAAGCAAACGGTGCGATTATGCTCAAGTAATCAAGCAGAATAAGATAAACAGAAATCCTTGTGCGAGGAAAACTAATTGCACTTTGGTACAGAAGTACAGATGTAAAGAGCCATCTTAATACTTGTCAAAACTACAGCCGGTTTGTGTGTGATTTTCTCTTGTATTTACAGTAAGCAAATATGGCTATCACCTTGCATGCTGCCCACGGCACCACTGAGTGATCTTTATTTTATTAAATGCACCAGTAAGCAGCCAGCAAAACAAGGCTTATGGGTTACTGATAACCACTGAAGCTCTAATGAGAACTCCTTCGTTTTGTGCCCCGAGAACCACTCGAAAAAAAAGAAGTTTCTGGGAAATCCCGATTTAGATCACGCTTTTTAATAAATTTTAACCCCCGTGCCACCCCAGAAGAAATTGGTTTTCCTCCTGCAGGAGGCTTCTATAGCTGTTCAGATGTTTTTAACAGTACTAGGTGCACTGCAAGCTCTGCATTCTGTCAGCTGCAACTCAAGCTGATTTTTTCTGACAAGGACGCTGGATGGTTTTTGTGCAGCCTAATATAGTCTCTGAACAACCTAAGGGTGATTTTCTACAGCTGAAAACCAGGAAAATTTTACAGGGCTTCTCAGTTACTGGCCTATATTTGCTATTCATCAAGCCAGCGTCTAAATGGAAATACTGAACATTTAGAAAAGGTATCTGACTTCAAATGGGTAGCTGTGAGAAAATCCTCAAACATTAAACCCCTTATTTAAAATAAGGCAAGTATTTTTTCAGGCTTTTATTTATTTATTTTTTTTAAAGGAAGTTTCCTAAAATTGAAATACTTAAAAAAGTGTAATTTTTATGGGCACTAATTACAAAAATTCTCAATAATATTAGAAAAGTGTTACTACAGTTTTAAACCCTCTGTCCCTGTCTCCCATACAGTGAATTAGAAAAATTATTTGTTAAGCTTTTGAGTACAAAATCTAATTGTTACATATAGAAATGGAATCATAACATAGGGTTGCTTATATATAATATCCTACAAATTTTAATTAAGGGTCATCTATATAATTCTTTTGTTATTTTGTGGCTTTTCAAAGATTTAAATTTGCAGGCAGCTTAATAAAATTATTAAGGAGGATTCATTAAATAATGCAATAATGTAATCAAACTTCTCCTGAGTAATGTCAAAATCTTTCATCATCTGCAGTAAATAAATACCTTAAAATATGTTCTTAAGCAAAAAAATTCCACAAAGTTAAAACCATTATAAAACCCTCTTTTTGGACTGTCAAATTAAGGTTGTGCAAATCTCAGAAGCTATGTATATTGGCACATAATTTTTATTAAAGAGCACCAGAAATGACTTAGCATACATCTTCATAGGAAACCAGGAAATAACTGCTAAAACACACATTGTCTTAAAGGATCTCTTCAGTACTGAGAAAAGGAGAATTAAATTGACAGAATTATGTTAGCATAAACAAAGGCCATATCACGATTATACAGTTGGAAAAATAATTAGGCAAATTATTCCAGCTTTTGTTCACGGTTTCTTTTTCATTCACCTTTTTTTTTTCTGATAATGAAATGTGCACTACTTTCACAGTCAGAAAGATTTTTCTCTGATTTATTAATTACAGCTTGCATACACACAGTGGTGTCTCAACACCATCTTTGCTTTTTTTCTAGATACTCCATACATTCTGCTAGGGAAAACACTGCCACTGTCATATGTTTACAGCAGGTTTCAGATAAGCAGTTTACTTTCAGCTAAAGGTTTCCATGGAACTACAGTAGTATCACAATAATAAGAGCTGTAATTTATGCACAGTCTGAGCACAGCTCCAGATTACCTAAAACTGTAATTCACTGCTTTGGCTGTGCATAACTTCTGATATAATTTTTAAAATTTAAATAGTTCTGCTGCAACAGCTAACAAAAATCCTTGGGAACCAAAATGCAAGATTAAGCACCATTACACATTTTGAAGATAAAACACTTGAAAGGTTACATGACTTTTTACCAAAATCATATTTCACACATTTCATACACCCACATTCATTTCCTTAAATGTGCAAGTGCCATATCATACAGCTAAAAAAGCAGAACATTATTTTTTAGACAAAGTTTACCTAGCACATAATTTATCCCTTTATTCACCTTACTGTAATATATGTTTTCCCATGTTCTCAATTTAAAACTTGGCAGATCAAAAAAGTATTGATTTCATGACAAGTTCAGCTCGCTGGTCAGATGATTGCCAAGCCTCCCCTGCATGTGAATTCCCCAAAGCCTGCCTGTTGAGATGTACATCTGATTGAGCCATGCCTCAGTAATGTGGCTTGACAACATGCAAGGAGTTGCCATGTTTCCTTTGCAGCCTTAATGCACTTTGCTGAAAATTTCCCTAACTCAAGACTGGTTAGGCAAGGGGAAACATTTAAGAGGTGGATTCCAAAATGAAATCAAATGCTGCTTTATAGCAGATACCCAGTTGGAGGGTGAGCTGCTAAGTGCCCTAGAAACACTCAGGGCAGACTTTTTGCATTGCTAAAGATGGAACTTACCGTGGTAATCCTTGTACAATGGATTGGTTTCTCTCTCAGAGCCAATAAATGATTCAAGACCAACTACCATATCTGACAAGTTTGTTACACGTTCCATAATTGCTTTATTCTGTAAGACATGGAAACAAAATACACATCCTATGTGATGAAAAAGGTAATTAGTGTTCATAGAGGTCTTCTCAATGACAAACTGTGGTGGAAAAATAGGACATCAATACTTAGAAATTATGTTCAAAAGGCTTTTTTCTCAGGAAAAAAAACTTGAAATAGCTGTCTAGAGAAAACATTTGACAAGGATAAACCATAAAAGGTCAAACTTAGCACTAAATTAAGTTTCCTAAATCTTCATAACAAGCTTTTGCTCATATCAGCTATATTTATAAGCCATATGTAAAGCTTATCTCTCACTAATTTCTACTATGAGTCTGATGCCCAGTTTTTGTTTGGGTTTTGAAAACCTTATTTTTATTACACTTAGGCATATAATCTCTAATATTTTGAGCAAGCAGAACCCACACAATTATTCATTTTGGCTAGCAGTCAAACATGGAAAACTCAAGTAATTTCTTAGCATTTTTCCCCCTAAAAGTTTCTCTCTGCACAACATGTGACTCTAAAGCTTCAAGCAGCATTACCATTTCTCACTATATTTGTGATTTTTAAGTGCTGCCTCATCTCTTGTGCTACAATGTACTGTCATATGCCTTAAATAAGCTGTTTTCCACATGGTTTTCTTTACTTAATTTTATATAGCAGAAAGAGACATTCAAAGGTCACAACAGAGATCTTCAGAGGGAAGTCAGAAAAAATGTTCTTAAATGCTTTGATGATGTCAGTATTTAATGAGGGAAAAAAATAAAATGGTAAAAAGTAAAATATTTCTTTAAGATAAGAAATAGTCATCTTAAAGGTACCTGGACAGCTGGTATAATTTTAAAATATTTTGTACATTTGGCACTACTTTAATAAACTATATGACTGATGCTTAGTCTGAAAGATCAATTTAAATACTGGTAAATTATTTCATAATAACAATTTATCAATTAGGAGCAGAGAGACTAAAACCCAGACAGGTTTGAATAGTCCATGCATCGTACTGACATTCTGGTTTATTAAAATGATGGTCAACATTCCAAGTGCTTTCATCAACCCACATTTCAATAACCATTATTTTCTAGCCACAGAGAAGCTTACAAAGCAGACACAAAAGGTGAAAATTTCCTGCTCCTGTCAAAGAATAAACTGAATTCTGTTTTCTGACCTCTACATGGAGTTGTGGCCTGTCTGGAACAGCCCAATCTGCTCAGGTTACCAGGCCTAAATCCACTGATCCCATGGTACCTTTACACCCCCTCCCTTCCCCACCTTCTGGGCCAGATGGCATCAAATCCTGGGGAGGGGTCTCTTTTCAAAGCTGCTCCTTGTGCACAGGCCAAGAGCATCCATCCCCGTGGAGTCAGGGAACTTCCACTTTGACTCACAAAATCTAATGATGGATAATGATAAAGTGGTGTCATCCTACAGAATTTCCTTTCTGAGGAATAACAGAAGTGATGGGAGGTAGAAGAACACGGCCCACACACCAATCCCTAGACTTTGCTATTGTATCTGCTCCTGAAATAGTAAAGCTGACTTGCAAATCATTTCCTCTTCTAGGAAGAGAGAGACAATATATTATATTTTAATGTAAACTTTTGGTCACATTATTCTACAGGGGCAATCACATAAAAATGGTATAAATCTAAAACTAAAGTAGTCAATGACCTCTATAATCCCAGAGACCAAAAATTACCATCTTTTGTCAGTTCTTCAGGAGGCTGCTGGATGCTATTTGTATAAGTAAGAAGTACAAAACTTTTTTATATAAATAAATAAACACTGATGATTCCTGGAAACAAAACTGAACTCCTGATACAGAAAAAATATCCTATCCTTTGAAAAAAACATTTGCTGTCCATTGATCTTTTTGCTTGCCAGTTTAGATAAGAATGGAAAAAAACCTGTCGAAAGAAAGGTGCTCAACCATCAGCAACATATCCTCATCACTGACAGTCCTGCAAATCATAACAACAGCATCCTCCTAATTGGTTTTAATTCTGGAAAGATTCAGGTGAGGCACAGCACCTCAACATTTGCCTGATAATACATACATTAATATCCTGGTTTTGGCTCTTCCTCTCTGTAAGAGTTTCCTTTCTTAAACGGTGCTCTCTTTGCCCATGTTGATTTTGGTTTTGTTTTTAAAGTGTGTCAAAATATTCCCCTGCCTTAATGCAGTGTATCTCGGGGAATATTTTGCACAGTGCATTGCCACACCAAACAGACATTTGCTTATGTGGCATTGTTGCCATAGATCTGTATCTACCATGTATTTTGTAGTTTGCAGCGCTCAGCACATTAATGTCCGATGGAAGCTGACGTCAGCACCCGGATGGTTGTGATGTATGGCACACTGACATAAACACACAAATCATGTTGCCCCATCTGGGCTTGAAAATTTAACAGAGCTCCAGATCTTCCTCCAGCCCCATACAAATATACCTCCTGCTTCTGGCATAAACTTGGCAGCTCTGGAGGTGAGCCAGGACATGGTTAGGAGGGAAGCCAGGAATGGTGAGATTCAGGGAAAGAGTTTGTTGGCAGCTAGAAGAGGTATTGTTTTAAATTATACTAAAAATGAAAAAAAAAACCAAAACCCAAAAACCAATCCAGTCTTGGAAAGTTTTCAGTCTTGCTAGATGTACTGCAGTTTTTCTAAATTAGTTAGTTCAGCCAAAATATAATTATTCTAACAACATGGTAGCAATCCTGTTGTGCAGGCTGGGCTGGGCATCCATTCTATATCTTACTTTGTGCTACTGTTTCAGACAGACATTTTCTTTTAAGTGCAAACTTGCAATATTTGGGTTCAACCAAAGTGTACTTTCAAAACATGTCAAGAAAATCCATGTAGAAGCTGGCTATGGAAATGGGAACTGTACACGTGTTTAAGCAGCTTTGGGGAAGGGCAATTATGGAAAAAGATTGCTTTGTCTTACTAATTTATTTTCAGAAAGCACTTTTAGTAATTATTTGTGCATGTTTAAAAATGATTATTTATAACAAAAGAGGTTTAAAATGTGTCGTGTTCTGTGTTGGAGTATAAAGTGCGGTATTCCACCAAGACAAATTCATGCATAGCCTGTATGCTCAAACTTACACACTGAAATTAATATTGTGTGTTTCTACTGGATTGAGTTCTTAATGTACCACAATTTTAGCATGACTACTATTAATCAAATCAATCTTGGTTCATCTGGATTCCGTATTAGGAAAAGAATTTGTCTTTTCTACTCTGCTCTAATTTCTACTTCTCCTCTGATTTTCTGTCAAAATTTTTCTAGCACCCAAAATCCTCTCATTTTGTCAGTTTCTAAAAAAATTAAAAAACCTCACAAAATTTATGTAATGAAAACATTTAAATTCTCAGTCCTTGCACTGCATGAGTGAAGAAAAGTATGAGAATGGAATTTTTTTTTTAGGACAGCCTCAACTTTTCTACAGAGTACATATAAACAATATCAAAATTCAAAAGGAAAATAAGACACTCATGTTAAAGATCTACAACGAGAAACAATTACCACCTATATAAATACTTGAATTACATGGGCTATTTGCATATATTTGCATTTTTATTCTGATCAGTACATGAATATAATTTTAATATGGACTTACATACTGCATTGAAAATAAGGTATTTTAAGACCACATCTCTTTTCAAAGAGACATTAAGCCTATATTTTGGTAGAGGGTTGCTTCTGTATCTTTACATTCTGGTAATATAATCCCATCAATGGTTTTATCTTAAAACATTTAATTAATGCATTGAATCTTCAACTTTATCACCTAAAACACTACTTACAAATATTGTTTGGACTGGGAAAAAAACCCAGTTTAAGTATTTCATATGACAGCAAAGTATTCCAAGAGGAATTCAGATATTCTTCCCAAGTCCAGGTAAAATTGTAATTGCAGGCAACAATCTCTGTTGTTACCAACAGGTGAATCCAGAAATCCTGCTACTTCATTTGAAAGAAGGTCTCAATAATAAGCACCAAACAAGGTCATGGAAAGTAATATGAATCTTACGAATTTAAAACAAATTGTGGTGTGTGAATTTGCAAGAAAAGCTAAAAAAAAATTGGTTGTATTTTTAAAAAAACAAATTCTGTTATTTTCTGCCATAAAACTGAAGTAAGCTTAGCACCATAATGGAGAGAGACATACTGGACTAACATGAAACAGTGGTTGGATATTTAGTAAATTAAATAATTCTTGATATTTCTGAGAGATTATCACACAATGAAGTGGTAATGACTTCACAATATGCAAATATTTCCTACTTGTCATTATTAAATCTCCAAAGGATTTTACATTGGAAATACAAATTATTAAGAAACATGGCTTTAATATTTATGACCATTTGTTAATAATTACAGCTCAAAAAATTGCAGAATTACCCATGCATCTTCTTTTGGTAAAAGAAGTTAGGTAATAGCCCTTTGGACTAGGTTTTATAGGATAAATCCAGTTTGTGCACTTCTTGATTATTCACAAATCCCCAAAATAAATGATTAACAACTGCTCTGGCAGGAAGTGTTATTTGATAATTAATAAAGAGTGTAAACTATAAAATTTGATACGTCTTCTAACTCCAAACTGCTTAGCACCGTTTACAGTGTTTGCACACAGCAAATCTTCTAACTGAATGTTGAATTTTGGCTCTGAAATGAATGTACACTCTGGCCACTGGAATACAAGATTACCATTAACAAATTTTGGTGTGCAGAAATCTGTACCAGTCTCACAAGAAAACTGAACATGAGCGAGATGTCAAGAAATACTCAAGAAATAAAATTAGTGGATTTGCTACAAACTACAATTCCTTCAGTGATGAGAAATCCACACCTGGGGATTCTGACTGATCAGGAATCTTCTTCTACCTTTGAAGAACTTTACTGATTATAACAGAACTTATTTATAATATCCTTCTGTATGGCTGAAAGCACAGAAACACTGATTTTGGTTGATTTGTTTATAGGCACAATAACATTAGCTAATTACACTGGC